CTGTTAGACACAGGGTCTCTAGTCTAATTCCTAGTTCTTTGGTCCACTTTGAGTTGAGTTTTGTGCATGGTGAGAAATAAGGGTTTAGTTTCATTTTGCTGCATATGGATTTCTAGTTCTCCCAGCACCATTTGTTGAAGAGACTATCTTTTCTCCAATGTATGTTTCTAATACTAGTATTAGATAACTATTTTTGTGTTTATTTATCTCTGTGTCTTCTATTCTGTACCATTTGTCTACATGTCAATAATATCATGCCATTTTTGTTGCTATAGCTTTGTAGTATAGTTTAAGGTCTGATATGGTGATGCCTCCTGCTTCACTCTTCTTTCTAAGGATTGTTTTGGCTATTCTGTGTCTCTTATTTTTCCAAATGAATTTTATGATTCCTTTTTTTATTTCTATAAGGAATGATGATGAGATTTTAATTGGAATCTCATTGAATCTGTATAGTGCTTTTGGTAGTATGGCCATTTTGACAATATTGATTTCGCCTACCCAAGAGCATCAGAGATCTTTTCATCTTCTAAAGTCTTCTTCAATTTCTTTCTTTAGTGTTCTGTAGTTTTCATTGGATGGGTCTTTCATGTCTTTTGTTGATTCCCAAGTATTTTTTTTTTTTGAGGCTATTGTGAAGGGGGTAGTTTTCCTAATTTCTCTTCCAGAGCATTCACTACTGATGTATAGAAATTCATTTGATTTATGAGTATTGATTTTATATCCTGCTACTTTGCTGAATTCATTTATTAATTCTATAAGTTTTCTGATGGAATTTTTTGATCCTCTAACTATAGAATCATGTTGTCAGCAAATAATGATAGTTTGAGTTCTTTTCCTATGTGTTTCCCTTTAATTTCTTTCATCTAATTGCTCTGTTTAGGTAGAGTTTCAAGGACTATATTGAATAGAAGTGGTGAACACTGTCTTGTTCCAGTTTTTAGAGGGAATACTTCCAATTTTTGTCCATTTAGAATGATGTTGGCCTTGGATTTAGCATAGGTAGCTTTTACAATGTTGAGGTATGTTCCTACTATCCCTAGTTTTTCTAGTGTTTTGAACATGAAAGAGTGCTGTATTTTGTCAAATGCTTTCTGTGCATAAATTGATATAATCATATGACTCTTACCTTTAAGTCTATTGATGTGATGAAGTAAAAACTAAAAGTACTATTAAAAAATGCAGATATCCAGATTTAGGAAATATTTGATGAAGCTGTATTAGTGTTTCTAGGTTACATATTATATAATTATTTTTAGTTATAAATAAGTAATATTTCTGAAAAAATGTTAGGGAATTTTCTTTCTCTCATATATACATATATGTATATATAAAAATATATGATGCAAAATGAAAAATAGTAGGGCCAAAATTATATATGTTAATTTTTTTGCAATTGTGTAAATACTTTATGTGATCTATCACAAAAATTCATAGTGATTGTATTAAGGAAATAGGTTTATTAGCAATTTTTTTTGTTCATTTCTGTAGCCCTCAAATTTTGTGAATAGTCTTTATTCCTTTTATGGAAAAATGAAATTAAAAATTTTAAATGTGGCTAAAAACTTTTTTTTAAAAAGAGTATATTCTTTTTTTTTTTTTTTGATACTGGGGATTGAACTGTGGGCACTCAACCACTGAGCCACATCCCCAGCCATATTTTGTATTTTATTATTTAGGTACAAGGTCTCACTGCATCTTGCTTTTGCTGTGGCTGTCTTTGCACTTGGGATCCTCTTACCTCAGGCTCTGAAGCTGCTGGGTTTATAGAAGTGCACTACTGCACCCAGTTTAAAGAGTTAGTATTTTGTTATGTTGTGTGCATGTATGAATATGTAACAATGAATCCCATTATTTCATATAGTTATAATGCACCATTAAAAAAAAGAAAAGAGGCTTCATTTATTCAGTAAACACAGGTGTAGATAAACTCATTCCTCTTCTTTTTTGCTACTGTTCATTAGGGGACATCTACTCTGTTATGTTGTAGTAGGTAAATGTGAATACTTGGCATCAGATTGTCAGGGTTTAAAATTTACTCCCGCACTTTTTAATTTTGTACTTTTTCCAGGCTGAGTTTCATTATCTGTAATCCTGGTATAATAATGGTAGCTAACTCATAGGATTGTTGGATAGATATAATTCCTCAGTGCATGTTAAGTCATTAAGTTTGTAGCATATAGCTAGCCTCAGTAATTTTTTTCATTAATTTCACCAAATTTTTTCCTAAACATATTTGCTAAATTAAATATCTGTGGGCTGGGGCTGAGCTCTATGGTAGAGCGTGTGAGAGGCACTGGGTTAGATCCTCAGCACCATATAAAAAAATAAATAAAGGCATGCTGTCCATCTACAACTATAATAACAACAACAACAAACAACCTCTGTAAAACTTTGCCTCTTAAAGGCAGTATTTTATATTGAGTACTATTAACACATTATAAAACACTGTTTTCTTACTTAATTTCCACAGAAATGCAATGAGGGAAATAATTTTTTTTATAAAGTTTTAGTAATTTGCCAGTAGTAAGGGGGAATGATTCTACGAAATATAGAAGATGATATTCTGAGTAATATAACTAAGTAGTTTTAGGAATGATTACTTTAAAGATTTTAATAGCTTAAACAACAAGAAAAAAGAGAGAACATGAAAACAAAATTTAATTAATTCTCAGCCTTTTAATTAAAAGCAAATGTAAAAAAATACCAACCCATAATAACGCATAGACTGCTTAATTAAATTAAATTAATTTCTCCCATAAATTATTCCTTTGTAGGTTTTTGTGTGTGTGTGTGTGTGTGTGTGTGTGTGGTGGTTGGGTGCTGGGGTGCTGGGGATTGAACCCAGAGCCTTGTGCATGTGAAGTAAGTTCTCTAACAACTGAGCTATGTCCCCAGCCCTCCTTTATAGTTTTTGAGGGAATAAATAGAACCTGAGGAGAAATGAGATAATTTACATAAAAAATGACATGAGTGTTTTATTTAAAAAACCAAATTCATGGATTAGAGAGTTACAACCTTTGTCAACAAGACTAAATTCATTAGAGCACATTAGAATGGTGACTGAAATCATTATGAAAATTAACAAGTGGAGTAAATTAAATTTATGAGTTTACATGCTATACTTCCACGGATGACTGTTTTACTAACCAATAAAGTTACTCTAAATAATCCAGTGGAAGATCCAGGGCACACAGCCAAAGCTTTCTACCTTTTGTTTCTATATCACTGCTTTTTAATATTTTTATCAGTAAGTTAGAATATTTTGAATGAATGAATGAATATTTTGCTGTTTATATTTTCATGCAAAGGTAAGTAAAACGAATACTAGCAAATTGGTTTTTAGAACCTAGATTATGATTTCAAAGTTAGCAATAAAAGGAAGTTCAGTTAAAAAAAAGCTGAAGCCTTTTATACTTTGGCCATACAAATAAATTTTATAAATTAAAGACTATATGCAAATGAGAAAAAAAGATATTGGACTTAGTGTGTAGCAGGTTGACCTTAAATCAATAGACTCACTGAATTAAAAAAAAAGCGTATTACAAGAGTTGATAAAACTGTACCATATAAACAATATTCTTTAGATTCTTTTCCTTCCCCTCCAGATCTCATCACATAATTTTAAACTTAGTACTGTCTGTCATAACTAACAAAAGAAAATGGTAGGTCATCCAGTTGAAAGGAAAATTAAATAGTTACTGATAGGATTATGGGAAGCTAAAGAAACTTACATAAACCCTGTATTTCTGTATTTTTACCAAGAAATTATATTCTGATTTGAGGTTTTACACTGTCATTCTCTTGATATTAAAATTGTTCGGAGTTCTGAATCTAATAAAACCATTCTTTGAGAGAATATGATTTTCCTTTTCTGGATATCTACAAAATGGATTTGTGAAATGCTTGAAATGAGCAAAAATCAGTTGCTACAAACAGGAAGACAGTTGCATGTATAACAGATAAGATGTAAAACAATTTAAAATGCTAAAAGTGCCAGTGGATTTTTAAATACTGTGTTAACTTTGTTCCTTTTGTATTGTCTCTTGTTACGTCTGTGTTTAATGTTGTCGAAGAAATCAGGTTGTGTGGAAGTTCCCTTATCCTGGTAATTTAACATATTTCTCTGTCCCTTGTATTTCTAGTAAACTGGCATCCTTCTATATTTATTAGGTGGGCATTTATTTATATAGAGAATAACCTTACCTTAGTTTGCTGTTTTATTTTCTGTTGGTTATAAGGAAAGGTGTAAATGCTTTATTTTTTTTCACTTTATCATCAGTTTTTAAAAATAATGGTTCTCTGGAATCCTCCAAACTAACCAGTGAGTTAGTTTTTCATTTTAATTTTTCTTTTTAGTATCATTATGAAGTGATGGAGTTAGTCATATTTGATGTGCTTTACACCATTGAAATTATTACTCATTTTGATGCTCTAATTATCTCATCTTTGGCCAGTGAAAAGATTTTCAAATTGACTCTAGAGACTTTCTGGCATGATTCCATGTGCTGTAGCTTGGATTTTGAATGCTGCACAAAGGCACATGTGTAGAAGGCTTGGTCCTCAGTCTGTGGCATTATTGGAAAGTGGTGGAACCTTTAGGAAGTGGGGCTTGGTGGAATGGAGTTAGGTAACTGGGGATGGGTGGAAAAATGATATTTCCTAGTATTATAAAAACTGGCATGTGGAGAGAATGGTTAGCTGTGTCTTAGGTCTGGGGTTAGTGCACTATGGCCCATAGGTCAAATCTGGCATACTGCCTGCTTTATAAATAAAGTTTTATGGGAAAACATTTATGTTTTGTCAGAATTGGGTAGTCACTACAGAGACTATGACTTGCAAAGCCTGAGATATTTACCATTATGTATTTTATACAAGTGTTTGCCAACTGCTTTAGATGTGAAAATTATGATTGCTACTTACATTGCTTGTTTTCTTCTTTTTCTGACCATATATCTTATATAAATGTATTAGACACATTGTTCTTTGACTTTTTTCCTTAGTCACTGATGTACCTCAAATGAAGTTGAAGAGGAATATAGAAAATGAACAAATCAAGAATGATCAAATAAAGAAGAAAAAAAGGCAAAAAGACTATCAACCCAATTATTTCCTGTCCATTCCAATTACCAACAAAGAGGTACTCTTTTTTTAAAAACTACTTTTACTATGAAGTTTTATTTATTAAATTTATTTGAAGTACACTATATGCTTGCTAACCTAGCTGTTCTCAGCTCCTAAGAACCTTTGGTGGTTGTTAGTAGGACCATGCAGGGAAAATTCCTAGTTAAATAGCAGGTATATATTTAAACAATAGTTTTGAAAAATGTTATTTAAACCATCCTATTTAAACAGTAATTTTGCAAAGTTAACTTGAAAAGGAGCATGTCAAGTTCCTTTTCAAGACTTTTTTCACTACATTGGAGGAACCCTTCAAGAGCAGAAAGCAATGACCAGGATAGGAAAAGAGGATTCTCAAATTTCTGGGAAGAAAGTAGACTGAAGTTTCTTGCTACTTAGTGCTTTTTGTGATACTGATTATTATTATTATTTTATCTTTGGTTGTATATAAAGTATGTTGACACCAATTCGTGTCTTTTTAAAAAATTCTTTCTTTCTTTCTTTCTTTCTTTTATTTTTAGTCAGAATGAATTTTGACATATAATACATACATGGAATGTACATACATCAATCATATTGTCAATTCTATTCTGCTGCCCTTCGTATACTCTTACTCCTCCCCTCCTCTCCCATCCTTTCTCTCTATCCAATCTAATGTGACACATTTTTTTTCTTTTTCTCATTACAACATCATATATGTATTCTGTATAATAATGAGGTTCTCCTTCCATCTTCCGTGCAACTCCCCTTCTCCCTCTTTTTTCCCTCCTACCTCTCTTCCTTATTTAGTGGTAGTCTTCTTCTCATGCTCTTCTTCCCTATCCCATTTTGAGTCACCCCCCTTATATCAGAGAAGACATTCGGCATTTGTTTATAGGGATTGGCTGATACTGATTATTGCTATAGAGTTTCTTTAAAAATTACTCATTGTTAAAGTAGGTTGAGTATCACTTATCCAAAATGCTTGGGACCAGATTCATTTTGGATTTTTTGAACTTTGGAATGCATACATATAATAAGATGTTTTGTGGACGGGACTCAAGTCTAAACATGAAATTCATTTACAGGACTGATGTGTGTCTTAGAGATAGTGCACTTGGCTAGCATGCGTCAGGCCCAGGTTCAATTCCTAGCACTGCAAAAACAGGGATTAAAAAAAAAAGAAATACATTTATGTTTTATATACACATTATACACAGAGACTGAAGGTCATTTTACACACCATTTTTAGTGCACCTGCATCTTAGCCGTGACTGATCATGTGAGGTATGGTGTGAAGTTTTTCATTTGTGGCTTCTTATTGGCCCTTGAAAAGTTTTGGATTTGGAACATTTCAGATTTTAGATGTTTGGATTTCAGGTTTTTTGGTTAGATATGTTCAACCTGTACGAATTTAATATTATATACAGATTTATGGTAGAAATCTATTTAAAAATCTGAAAAATCAATGTGGTATGAATAATAAAAAATGGGAAGATTAACTCATACTTCCTATTAACTCATACTGGGAAACTATTAAGAGGGAAAACTGGTGTATCTAACTGAAATTACCAAAACCATGAGGTAGTAATTAAACTGCCTCAGGAAAGAATATCTCACATGGAACACATAGTTTTATATCTTGACCCAGTTTTTGAGCCAGATTTGAATGAGTTTTATTTTGGGTCATAATCTGTTTGCTCAGGAACATTTTCAGGTAACTTTTACCCATGATTGCCTTTTAAGGCTTGCTAACGAATTTCTAAAAATCAAACAAAATTGAAATCAAATAAATATGAAAATGGTTTATTGGGTCATTCTAGGAAATATTGAATCTTGTGAAATACAGTTTAGCTGAGTGAAAAGATACATAAAATACAAGAATATTTACCATACAAGATTTTAGATTTGATGTAGTAAAGAATCAAATTTTGGTTTAACTGATACATATTTGATTTCTTTGGTGGGTGAACAGTGAAATTGTCTTTAAAAGTGTTTACATTGTATGAAATTTAGTGTAATCAGCTATTATTTATTAAAATATATCTGTAAGTTGTTTGGATAGGTTTTCTTTAAATTTAGGATTGTATACATATGGGAATTAGGAGAGGGCAGGAAGTCAGAGCTTCTTTCCTGGACAGCAAGCCAAGGACAGGTTCTAAGGAAGCTGAATGGAAGATATTTGGAACAGCTTCCCTGAGGATGTATGATTTGAAGAGAATTCAGGCTCTTTGTTTTGATTTGTTGTTTAGAAATTGTTCTACCGTAATTTTGAAGTGTTTGATAAGCACTTCTAGGTGTTGGTTTAGGTAGGCCATTCATTTATAGATCACCCTTCACACCTGTTTCTTTGCTCTCAGTGTAGACAACAGCAACTCTGCATACCCTCTCCACCTATCCCCATTTGATAGTCTGCTTCCAGTGAGAATTGGTGGGGTGATATGATAAGACAGGGCAGGTGGGGGAAAGAGGCCATGAATAAAGGGGATAGAGAAATTCTTCTGTCAGCCACTTAGTTCCATGGGTGATTAGAGGAAGGGATGGAGAGAGTTGCCTGCAGCTGTTTCCCCTGTTAGCTGCTGTGGCCTAACTTACACTTGTCAGCTTCCGTGAGGTGTGTAAGTAGTGGAAAGCAGGGATGGGGTTGTTGCTCAGTGGTAGAGCACTTGTATAGCACATAGAGGCACTGGATTAGATCCTCAGCACCATATAAAAGTAAAATAAAATAAAGGTATCTGTCCAACTACAACTTAAAAAAATGGTGGAAAGGACATGGGCTTTGGGGTCCCACAGGCCTTGTTAGACTGGCAGGTGCCTCACAAACTCCACTGTGGGAACTCATGTCTTTGAGTTTCAGTGTCTTCAGGTGATAATATTGACCTAAATTGATGTTGTTTCTAAACCCTGATTGGAACACGTCATTTACCTGCTTATATTCTTGAGGATTTCCCCATGGGTACAGGATAAAGACAGTCTTCCAGAGTGTGTTCTGGAAGGTTTTGCCTGTTCTGGCCTTTCCATCCCAGCTCTTCTCTTTCTATTGAGCTCCTCTGTTCTTCCTTGGTCTTGCCAGGTTCCCTCTGCCCCAGGAAAAACTGTCTCAAGCAGGGAGTTTTCTTCTCTCCTATTGTTCATCTTAGTGGCAATATCTCAGTTCAGAAGTCTCCATTGTGACCACACTGACCAGGTTATCTCTTCCCAGTCCCCTTACCCCATTCTCCCCAGTTAAAGGTTTTTCTGTCATTTGTCATCCTTGCATCCTTTGTTACTTGTCTCCCTCACAGGTGTATTAATTCATTCTCAGGGCCCAGATTAGTGCTTTTCTAAGAGTTGGGACATGTAGACACACATGTACACATTTGTGTGTATACACACACACACACACACACACACACACACACACACACACACACACAATGCTGTCCTTTGAGGGATAAAAGCTATAGCCAGATCTCTTTGTATCTGTAGTGCTAGGGATAGAACCCAGGTCCTCCCATATCCTAAGCAGGCACTTTATCACTCTAAGCACAAGAACTCTTAAAAAGAATAAATACAGTGTTACAAATGCTGGTTTCATAATTTAAGATGAATCGCAGATAATTGTTTTGGAGGAGTTTGGGTGGCATATAGTAGTGGGAAATTCAGGTTTATACTTCTCTCTCAAGAGATTTATTCTGAGGTAACAGAAAGCTTATATACAAATAAAGAAAGAGATATAGGGATTGGATTAGGAGATACATTTTATATCTTGAATGAGCACATTTTTTTGTTTTTTTTTAAAGTATCTAATGTTAATTTTCTTTTTAAACTTCTTATGAGCTTTTGTGGGAAGGCCTGGGAAAGAAGTACCATTTATAACATTGTTTCAATGGAAGACTGTATTCCAAGTTCCAATTAAGTGACCTGCAAACAAGCTTTTGGAAGCTGGTACATTCACAATGAGTTGCTCTACTTTTGGCCTCTACTTTTTGGCATCTAGTTTTAAAGAAAAAAGCATTCAGAATAAGACAGGCCTTTGATTTTAAACACATTCTTAGAAGTTTGGAATTCATTTTTTAATGGAAAATCTTGATTTCATATTTCAAGAAATAGAAAATGAATTAGAATGACTGTACACATATATCTTAATTGGGAGTATATAAAATGTTTTCTTCATTAACCTGTACTTACACATTAAAAGTAAAAGGAGAAAAAATTTTGATGGGGTTATAATAAATCTGAAATGTTTCTTAAATGGCTAGAATTGTATAATTAGTAACCTAGCTGTTAAACGTATGTTGGTTTTATATGCTTTGTTATGAGAGGTAATATGTTCGACAGCTTTCTGTCATTGTAAAAAATAATCTGAGATAATTAACTTATAAAGAGAAAAGTTCCATTTTGGCTCCAAAATTTTGGTTTTGAGATTCCAGTCCATGATTGAATGGCTTTGTTACTTTTGGGGCTGTGGCAAGGAGCACATCGTGGTGGAAGCACAATAGTAGAGCTATGTTATAGCCAGGAAGCAAAAGAGAAAGAGGAAGGGACTGGGCTCCCACAATCCCCTTCACATGTACTCCCCCAGTGACCAAAAGACCTCTCTCTAGGCCCCACCTCTTAAAGGTTCCACCGCCTCCCAGTACTGACATCCTAAGGCACAGGCCTTTAACCCATGGGCCTTTGGGGTACTGTAACAGGTAATAAAAGGTAATATGGTAATATAAGGTAAATCAACATTGAAAAATGAAAGAAATAATCAGCTGATGAAATTAAAAGTTTTTTTTGTAAATTTCTTACATGTTAATTGAAAAAGGTGATTTTTTTCAGGGGTTTAAAAAGCATTTAATTCTGTGTTTCATCATTTTATAATGTGAAAGTTTCTGGTTTTATGAAAATATTGAAGTAAATTAGGGAATTCAGTTCCCTTTTTAAAATGTAATAGTAAAAGCAGATTATAGCATCATATTTATTTTAAGTGCTTGGTAGACAGATAATATCCTATTTGAGGCTTTTCCCCTTTTCCTTTTACTTCAATTATTGCTATATCATTAGTTTTTCAGA